CAGTTCATATTTGTCTCAGTGAATCATTAATTTTTGGCAGACACCTGTACAAAATACTTGGACTAAAGCCAGCTAAATTTTTCTGTTATCTTGCATGTTTTATGAATCTATTCACATCTAAATGCAGCACTTTTTTTTTGCAATGAGACATTTGTTTTTATTCTAAAATATCTGAATTACTTTGAATAAAGCTGGAAATTATGTTCCTTAAAATAATTAAACAAATAAGGCACCAATGTTTTTGTAAGATATTTACATCTTTTAAGGACATTCGGTAGACTGATTCCCCACTGTTGGTTCAACCCCAAAACTTGTTTGTATTCAAAATTAATTATGACAATGCATATTTATATTGAAACAAACTATGATAAAGGGAATTATATTATATAACAAAGGGCAAGGTCACCAGAGTTCAACTATGTTTGTCATTTTGTTATCCACTCTACTCCGTTAGATAGTTCGTGATTGGTTGAAAAATATCTCGTGAGTTACTTAACAGTTCCCATCTGTTATGGTTGTGAATTTTAAACCCTGAAAAATATGACGAGGAACTACAAAAAAATTCATTATTTACGGGCAGGGGGATAAGAAATGTAAAAGAAAACTTTGGCGTTTAAGGATTTCGTTATAACAACACAATTCTTCACATATACATACGTAATGGCGAGGGGGGGTCAAATGCATTTCATTCTAATATTAAATGCCAAAAACGCATACAATATATGACTTGCCAGTACCTTACTCTACAATTCTAAGGTCCCTGACATGTAACATGCCTGATATGAGTAGACGTTCATGTGCATAGATTGATTTGATTCGGTTGATTGGATATAACTTGAAATGACAGGGTTTTTGTTTTGTTTTTGCATTCGAGACGTGTGAGCACCATTATTGGTTCTGTCTTTCAGGGAAGAAGTGGCAAAGATGGCATGAGGGGGAGTCCGGGCGCCGTTGGTACAAAGGTATTTAATTATTTGATTTAGCATGACAAAAGAATGGGCAATTGAACAATATATATGATTCGGTGTGTGGCGATGGTTGACGCGGTGTGCTAACGCAGCGGCGATGGTTGACGTCATGTGTTAGCGAATCGGTGTAGGTAGACGCGGTGTGCCATTGAATCGGCGGAGGTTGACGCGGTGTGCCATTGAAGGGCCGGAGGTTGACGCGGTGTACCATTCGAGCTGCGTAGGTTGACGCCATGTGCTATCGGTGTAGGTAGACGCGGTGTGCCATTGAATCGACGTAGATTGACGCGGTGTACCGTAGGTTGGCGGTGTGCCATTGAGTCGGCGTAGGTGGACGCGGTGTGCCATCGAAGCGGTGTAGATTGACGCGGTGTGCCATTGAAGCGACGAAGGTTGACGCGGTGTGCCATTGAAGGACGATGACGCGGTGTACCATTGAATCGGCGTGAGTTGACGCGGTGTGCCAACGAAGCGGTGCAGATTGACGCGGTGTGCCAGCGAAGCGGCAAAAATGACAAACATTACGTCTGTATTCAAATTAACAAGCTTCATTTATTTCTAGGGGGATCGTGGTTTCGATGGATTGCCAGGAATGCCAGGACCAAAAGGTCACATGGTGAGTAAGTGGTAGTTATGCAACGAGGCTATTCATAGAATATGACTTGTGATACTGTTTAAACCTTTCACTGCAGTGTATCACTTTATAATCATAGTTATGGCGGATTGATTCAATGATTATTGTCGGTGAAATTATAGTGTTACATGCTGGGTTATATCGAACATTTATCTATATGATTTGAATGTTTACATTGCTGCTTCGCTCGTAATGTTTTAGTTTGTCGTTATTGTCGTGGTTGTTTGGGCCATTTTATTCTAACTTCTATCAGACTATATTATCGATCAGTATAACATTTTGCCCGAGTTCGATTTAGTATGTCGCGCGTCAAAATATCTCGAAATATTCCGGACCATACTGAACAAGTGGGAAATCGTCAAAGCCTCTGAGAATACTAGAATCAGCGTTAACTACGACAGCAGGATCTAATGGACCATTTTCCGTTCACCTTTCCCGCCCTTCTCGCATTACGCGAGATCTGGCAGTGAACGGAAAATTGCCTATTGCTACAGTGACATTGCAAACATACCAATGCAATACATCTATGAACAATCTTCAACAGAAAACAGATGTTACCGACACTGTACGTGACTAATCTCGGCTATCACAGAAGGATGAGGAATAATCGAATAGCGCAACCCTTGACCCTTTGAGTGTTCTGTGCAAATACGAATACGAATTTGTCTCATTTGACATATAACAGATTGAGGTGAAATCGTTTCGTGACACGGGCGCGTTTAGCCAATCAATTGGAGGCGTGACGAATAGCAACCGCCAAGCAGAAAATCATTCATAATCGATATCACGTATCATGTGACAGCTATTTCCCATTTGAGCCAGTGAAAGATATTCTATAAGGAGTTGGACGTTACACTCTCTGGTGGTCGCAGATATTGAAAACAAATATATGGGAAAACATAATACAAAAACAGATTTGTCTGCAAAGATTTCGAATGTCCATTTTTATTATTTTTTTTCCACATGACGACCACTTTAACAATGACTGTTGCTATTTTCCCCGCCACGTTATAATAAGTAAAGACACGAACTGACACAAGATTGTTCATTTCATGAATTTTGTTTCCCACTTGTCAAGAATACCAACAAAGAGCAAGGTAACCTAAGTTTATTTATGTTTTTTTCTGTAGGGCAATCCGGGACCACAAGGGCTGATGGGTCCGGCCGGTATTACCGGGGAACCAGTAAGTACAACGTAGAATACTATGTTATTTATATACAAAAATTAACATAATTAACTTAATATATTTTACTTTGATTGTGTCATAAGTATTAAGGTAGCCTTCTCATGCGTTTTCGTTCCCAGGGTGACGACGGACAATCCGGTCCGATGGGCCCGAGTGGTGAGCCAGGTCCCAGGGGTTTACCTGGTCCCAGGGGACCAACAGGACTACAGGGTGTGCCGGTGAGTTTGAACTGAAACCCTAATGACATGAACCATGGGTTTACTTTATTCATTCGTACATACCGATGCATTACGGGAAACCATGCGTATGGGTTGTGTATACTATATAAAGAATTGTAATCTATAAACACCTTCAGATCAAATCTTAATTTATTCAGTGTTCATTCCATTACGTACGTCTTACATATATTGCAGGGTATACCTGGTGGTCCTGGTTTGGAGGGTCCAAAGGGTAGCAGCGGACTTCCTGGACAACCAGGTCTGAGGGGAAATCCTGGGATTCAAGGTTCAACGGTAGGAACTCAACATTAGACCTATCTTTTATTTTATTAATAGCAATTAACATGTTATTTTAGTGTATTTTTTTTCAAGTGGCAACCATGTTTTACTTGAGATGATAGAAGCATATTTAATGAGATATAATTAGATGTGTGTCAGTTTTATGTGTACATTTCACGTACAACTGACGTACTTGACTCTTTCCATGAAATTTTATCTATGAACTTTGAACCCGTTATCTATCTATCACAACATATTTGATTGAGCAGGTTGATTTCACACGCTGTCAATTTAACAGCCACACTGATCACTTTTTCCGGTCATTTTGTGCAGCAACAACCAAAATATTGATTGCAACAAAAGAATCGGTTACAGTAGTACTGTAGAGGGCGATGTACAATTTCTTATCGAGGACAATAGTATATATTTACATGAACACCACTTATTGAGTAACAGATTTAAGAAAGTTTAGTATATACAACCTATCATCGAAAGGACGGTAACCACGGTTACGAGGAAACATTCAAGGCATTCAATATCGAGACATGTGTATCGTTTCTACTACTTTTCATTTTACCGCAATATCTGAAAAGTTGACAAACCTGAATTCCTCCTCAAACTGTATTAGTCCGTCACTTCAAAATTCACCAGTTCACTATAACATATTAAATAATACATTTTAAAATAGCAGCATGCCATATTTTTTTAAATAGAGGGAATTATATTCCTCGATACAAATTCCATGTATCTATGAATTTGTATCGAGGAATATAATAGAAACCGAGAGAAAAACAGACTTTTCGATTGTCTACTGAGTGTGGAATAAATTGTTGTGAACAAAGACAGTGTTGAACAAACATGTCGGCAATTAGATTTTAATACGAAAATGACAACAAGCTGCTCTCTGATTCATCTGACTGAATTATCATTAACATTTCCACAATGTTTTTTTTTTATCATTACAGGGTCCACCTGGCCCACAAGGACCCATGGGATCTCCTGGAGATCCCGGTCCTGAAGGTAAGCCAGGCATGCCGGGATTACCAGGAATAGATGGGCCACCGGTAAGTAGTGACTTCATGTTCGGTTATTCGCGAATCCACCATCACTCACAGTCTGCGAAGTTTCATTGTAATCTATTTTGTGTTATTGCATAATAACAATGAATGCATATATGGATTTTTTTATATCCTATGCATACATTAGTTAACCGGACTATTACATTGTCAGTCCACTCTCGCCTCTCGATATATTCATTGATATCTTTTTTACTCCCGTGCGCAAAGTACACAATGAGAGTCTTTGCAGTTAGCCTGTCTGTATGTGTGTG